TCTCAGTGCTGCTCTGGAGGTACTTCACCCACTCACCATTGTGTATGTGCTTCTGCAGAGACAGGGTTTTTGTACCTCCAGGATGCCACATGTGCTTGGGCTTCTCAGTGTTAGAGAACCTCTCCTCATTTTCAAAGGAGAGATTCTGCCTCATTTCACGATGGAGGCAGCATCTGTGTTTTAATGTCTTTGTAGTTAATTGAAGACCCCTGAGACACTTTGAATATGCAGCCCTACATGAATGCACTCACCTGTGACATCTTCTATAATAGTGTGGGCGGTGTTTTGACTATTGAAGATTCTAATTTCTTGCCACACAACCTTCCGTAAATGTGCCACAAATTTACTCATGTCTTACTTGAAATTGTTTTGTGGATTTTTTCATGGTCAGATTTTCATGATAATGAAATAATTTTGTGATAATACCTATTTTTCCTATTTTGCAGATCCTAGTTTTGATTTTTAAACAGACATTTGAGTACAGAATATTGTACTCATCTGCAGGAAAATAAAATGGGAACCAAGATCTGAAACAGCGTGGGTATTCCAGATTGTTTGTATGTCTTCAGCTACTCAGGACAGATGTTGATGTGGTACTACTTTAGCTCCTTGCCAGAATTGTCAGTGGTTCAGCATGGTAAATGATCACATATGTCTTGGTTTCTGTGGGTTAGTAACTACATTGAAGAGATTTTAATGTCATTATCACCTTGTCTTCACTGATTTTAAAAAGACTAGATGGATGAATATTTACCCATTTTTTCTTGCTGTGTAGTCATTCAACCATTGAATAGGAGTAGTAAGCACCGTGCTCCTGATTCCTTGAGTGGGCATCTCTAGCTTGGCTGTAAACACTACCAAACCAATTCACAGTTAATTTACATCAGTAGCTACATATGAACTGTGAGGAATTACAAGCTCTCTCTGTCCATGTGCTGAGCTTTCAGAGTATGGCCCAAAAGTGGATCTCAATAGTAGGACTTCTGGGTCAGCCTCACCAGCACATCAACCCCAGGGCTTTCTGGAATTTCAGAAGGTGGATGGTGTGTGCACCCACTAATCACTCACTGAGTATTTCTTAATTGAACAATACACCAATTCTCATTTATAATAAGGTTGCCTTACATCACCAGGAAAGGTGATGTAGAAGTCTTAATGTAAATAAACTTGGCATGTGCTGGCATAGATTTCCATTCAGCCTTGTAATGTACAGCACTGATGTACTGAGTGAAATGGTCAGTCAGTATTTATGACAGGAGAGTGGATCTGATTCTCCACTGCATAAATCAGTATCAGTGTGGGCAGGTTACAAGAAATGCAGAATTTGCTCTCCTGTTGTTCTCTGTGTGTGCTCTGTAAATAAGGAAAGCACTGTGTGCATATGGATTTTCTTTTATCTTGGCATTTCCTGCTGTTTCACAATTATTAACTATTTAGGTGTTACAGTGCCTTGTCAGAAAGTTAAGGGATGTAACAGAATTACTTCAGCTGTTAGAATGCAGCAACAGCTCAAATGGAGTCAGATGTGTGTTAATGCAGATACACACAACATATTTTAGGGGACTAAAATAATTTTTTTAAAAAATGTCCTATTCCAGCTGAAACAGCAGCAAGGACAGTAACATTTAATCAGCTCAAATCTGATGAGAATGCAGGGTTAACACTTGTGCTCCTGCAGAGATTGCCATAACATCCTGAATTCTTCAGGTTGTCAGAACTTCTACTTTATTACGTTTTCAAAGACCCTCCAGTGCCCATGGTGCCCCCTAAAACCAGGTGAGGACACAGATTTCAAAGGAGGCAAGCTTCCTGCTCTCCCTGCTTCCTTCAGTCGATATTGGTTTGAAATCTTTAGGTCTTCATCTGAGATTAGTAATAGGATCACACTCATGATGATACGTCTGCAAATGATGCAAAGTGCTCATTTTGAAGACTTGGCCTGTTTTCTAATCCACAGTTTAAGTCTGTAATGTTCAGAATACAGTTTGGTTCTATTTACTGTAGTTTCAAAGTTGTTGCCTCCTGTGCTTTCTGTTTCATAAGAAATGGGTTGTTGTGTTGGGTTTTCTGCTATAGAAATTACTTACTGGGAATGTTTTAAGTTGCAGTGTGTGTAAAATTGCACTTGTTTTTCACCTGGGAAGCCTTAACTTGCATTCAGGTTTGTCACTACTGCAGCAAGTCAGGCAGTGCCCAGCTGATACCTCACAACACCCTCAGCAGGCTCTGGCCTTGTGCCCAAAGAGGAGCATTTACTTGTCTGGCCAGGAGTTGTTGTGGATGCACATTGAAATGCTTTTATGAAAATAAAGGAAATGGCCTTTAGAAAGCCTGTGCTCTCAGTGGCTTTCAGAGCAATGCCACATGGGTTTCATTTGTATTTACAATTGGCTATAAGCCTCTGGAAAAGGCTGAATTCTTTCTGAACAGTGTCCAGAGCAGGAGATATTCTGTCATTAGCTTTGTTGATATAAAGGCTATGTCCATTAAGGTAAGAAAATTGAATAAGGCCTTTTATGAAACAGTGGCTAACCATTTCCATGATCAGAGAGAAAGCCATTTTGTGAAACAGTGGCTAAGAGTTTCCATGATCAGAGAAATATGTGTCTTATGTGTATATGTTGCTTGATGGATACATAATTATTTTATTTAATACTCAAAATATTTGTTGCCCATGATCATAATCAAATGTTCAAGCTTATAGAGAGGGAGAGAACCAAGCTGGCATAAATGGACTGCAACTTCAGCCTCGGGGAGTGGGCAGAGGGAGATCAGCAGGAAGAGGTAAATGAGGCTGAAACACCCTGATAATATCCCCCACTGCATCAAATACAGTCCCTGAGTGAGGGAGAGCCAAGGGATGTGCAACCTTCTGCACCCTCTTCCTGGCAGTTCTGCTCAGGCTGGGCTTGGAGCAGCTGAGCCCAGCAAGGCTTTGGCATCACGTCAGTCCTTCAGTAACCACGTCCCAAAGAAGTTGTTTGTGTATATAGGAGATGTGAGGTTGTTAACTGGAAAATTTGATCTTCTGGGGCAGACACATCCTTAGAATGACTCCTTGGAATGCAGTGAAGATGAACCAGGGTACTTAAACAAGTAAAAATGGTATTAATAAAACCTGGTGAATATCTGCCTCGTCCTTACCCTCGTGGAAGAGTTTCTGACATTACTTTTACAGCTTCTTAATGTTTTTCTAGCACCTAAATTATAACTAGGACAAATTTAGGATTCCCTTTTATTTCCGTGACTTATTTCTTACTCAAAGAAAGGCATCAAGAATCCCAAATCCTAGCAGTAAAAAGTTCGATTCCCTGACACTTTAATGGCCTTGTACTAAAATTAACTGATGACCTTGAGTCTCTAAAGGATTTAAAGAGTAATTTAATAAGTACGTAGTTACACCAAGCACTGCAAATACACTTGCAGCCAATTTTCTGTATGTGCAGTACACTACTGAGTCACTGCTCTGTGTGTGTCTTTGACCCTTATCTATAATAATATACTCCTGGAGAGAAAACTTGGAAGTGCTTCATGGTACGTTATTACTGCTCAGAAAACTCTTCTAATTTTCATGCTGATAAAGATATTAACATGGAAAAATTAGACATATCCTTTTGTCTGAAAGGCACTTGAAAATCTGTGTTGTGACTACAGTTGACTGAAGCTCAATTACTTTAATAAACGTATTCCAAATTTCATCTTGATTACATTTGCATTTTAATGAACGATTCTCGCCTACTTGTCAAATAGGCAGCCCAGCTAAATTTATTAAGTTATTGTATAAACAGGGTATTGTGATGCCAGAATTTAAATGGAAAAATATTTGATGTCATATTCCAGCAACATGTTATAAATCTGCAGTGTAGAAAAGTGCGTTGGTTACCTCTGTATTTTAAGTTTGGATTTATTTTACTGGTTTTCTTTAAAGAGTCCATCAACCTTAAGGGTCATTCATAAACATGCAGAAAGGATTCTATGGAATTGTGGGTGTTTCTTTGCTTTAAATTGGATAGTTATTACAGCTCTTTCATATGCTGCATTTCTCTTAAATGTTCTGCTATATACTTATTTTTCTGTACTTGAGAAGCGAGGGGGGCAGTAAACTGCTCCCCTTGAGAACTAGTGAATTTGGTGCCTGACATTTGCACCCCACATGTCCTTTGGGTGCTTTAACACATCTGGTAAGAAAAGGGAGTTATTACTTGCCAGTAGAACAAATGAGGCCCAGTTTTCAAGCCTGGGTTGTGTTTGAAAGAATCAATACAGTTTGATGCCCCTTGATTCAAAAATCAGGAGCACATGCACAGAAAGGGATGTGTCCTGTGGAATAGGGATAGGATACTCCTGGGACTTGGGTCAGCTTCTGTGTTCTTGCTAACATTTTAATCAGCAGCTGCAGGATATCTGTGTGCCATACCCTTTTCACTGCCCTACCTCACCTTTGCTTTTTCTGTTATTTTTTTAACCTCTGTGCTCATCCTGCAGGCAGTGCATTGCAGTTTCCTCTCTATTTTCTTCTCTTGCAGTAATACCTTGCCTGTTCTCTTCCCCTCACTCACAGGTGCACTGGCACCTTCTTTTTTCCTGACAGTGCAACCTCCTGACAGCCCACGGAATTGTGGAATTCAGCAGCTTCAGGGCAGTGCCTGTCAGGCTGTGACAGCTGAGTTCACACAGTGAGGGGCCTGGTGGACAGTTGGCTGCTCTAAATTAGAATTAGGCAGGGAGTTTTTAAACCAAGTACTGGACAAAGTGCTACTGAGTTCAAGACACCCAGTAATTAACCTGCGTGATAGTGAAAGAGAGAAGGGAAAGTTCTCACAGACCATATTGGGGAATTATCCTTTGTTATCATATTGCAGAAGGAAATACTAATGGTGAACTCTTGAACATAGAAGAACTTGAAATCTTTAAAATGTAATTTAGTGGGCAACAGAGAAATCAATCAATTTAATAGTGTGTGATTCAAACACTGACCAGGTTGTGATGATTTTTGGCAGACATCATCTCAGTTCTATGAAGCAAGGTGGAGAATACTTTATATACTCCATCAGGAGTCACTGGAGAGGAAGAACCCACTGAAAGCAGCCCAGCAGGCTCAGGGCACATGAGAAAGAACTGAGTTCCAGCCACTCGAATATTCCTGTGATGCAGAGGAGTCAGAGGAACAAATAAACACGTGAGTCAACTCAGAGGGCTTTTGGCATCTGAGGGCAATGGTTTAAAAAAGCCACAATTGCCAGTTTGTGTCATTGTTTGGTACTGAGGCAGTTCCCATGGATGAACTAGGAAGAGACAAACTTAGTGAAAAGCATGGGAGGAAAAAGGCACTTGAAGTGGTTTAAGAAGGAGGAAGTTTAGAGGGCAGAAAGAAGGTTAATGAACTCTGGAGAGGTTTCATAGCCACCTCAGAACTGATTCTCCAGGGAGAAAAGAGGGAGCCTGGTCAGCTTGTGCCATGCTTTTTTCCCTTCAATGGGACCACAGCATTAAGAATAAAAAAAACTTGGCTTGGCTTGCACAGGGGTTTCTTCACTCCACATCTGTTACTTACTACCTTCTTCAGATTTTCTCTCCATTTGATCACTGCATTGTCTTCAGTCCTTTGGCTCCTGCTGCTCTTCTCAGTGCACCTCCAGTGCCTGTTGTAACACTGCAGTTGTCTTCCATCTGTCAGCCCTCACTGTGTGGTGTTGAAATCCTTGCTCAGCAGGACAGAGAGGCTCCTCTAGAGGTTACACACCTTTGGAGCCTCAGTGCATCAAAAGCTCATCCATCTCTAACAGTCTTTTCTAATCAGTTTGCTGTGGCTTTTATCACTCCCAAGAATCACCTTCCTCTCATGAACTGACTCTCAACTTCGTCTCCAGAGTAATCTGAGATGCCATCACACTCTAGTCATAAAGTGGGACAAGAACGTTATAAGCATTAATAAAAAGTAAGAAATAAAAACAAAGCCCAGACCAAAAAGCAAACACATAATACAGGTTGAGTAATTCTGAACAGGAAAGTGTCACATCTACTAGAGTGACATTAAATGTCCATTCTATATGGTCACTAACTGAACAGCTAGAAAAGGTGGGAAAGGAGTAAAGTATTCCTGAGAGATAGTGTTATGGAAGGAGAAAACAGGCCAATCAGGCTTGGGGCAGTGAAGAAACAAAACCCACAGCCTGTAAAAAGCTGTTTTCTGGTTGCCCAGCTCTGAAAACTCTTCTCATGGGGGTGAATCTTTTCAGCTTGCTCTATTATTTTCTTTGCACACAATATGTTAACCCAGGAAAAACTAAACAGAATTTGAGGCACGTCTTGAAACTTTGGCCTCTTGTATATAATCTTAGTGCCTCCATTGGCATGATTCCAACAAAAAACAAAATGGAATGCAAGCCATGTGTCAACATCTTTTCTCAAACAAATCAGTCACATTATTTCCTCTGCCTCCAAGTTTGATTTCACATAAATGCTTAATTGCTAATAATAAGTAGTAGTATAAATGTGTGAATACAAATAATACTGTATTTATAATTTATTAAGTACTATAAGCATATTATAAACAAATAAAAATTGCATATCCTGGTAAACATATAAATAACCAAATTTTAATATTAATAAGTGCTAATAAATGCAGTCATTAACAATTTAGAGATACACCTAAGTGTTTTTTTAAAATTTAGGAAGAGGAAGTGTGATGATGTGAACACAATAAACAGCTTTATTGGTTCTGCCTTCATTTCACAAACTACTTTTTTAACTTCAGTCTTTGTTCTTTCTCACAGTCGCATTCTGACAGAAGAGGCCCACATGAGGAAGTCAGGGAAGAAGGAAAAAAAGATGACCTGACAGTCCTTTAGTCCTATTTATACCAATGTCTGGATTCCAGTGCTCCTGGAGCAAAAAAAGGTAAATTTGAAGGAAGATTCATATCCTCTGTGGTAGGACATGAGTGAAGTTCACAGTGACACAGACCCATAACAGATACACTCAGAGCTGCTGTTCAGCTGCTGAACTTGTGTTCTGAGAGCTTCAGGAGTTTATGGTGATGTAATCTGTCTTTCTTAATAGCAGTTGTTAAATTCTAACAGTAAGTGATTGAATCCTGATGACTTACTGAACACCTTGTGTGTGTGTGTGTACAGAAGCACATGTCATTCACCTTGCTGACATTCACCTGGCAGGTTCCAAGTTGCATAAAATCTTCTTAGGTGATGCAGCTTTCAAGATCAGGCTCATTTAAAGAAAAGGCTGTCAAAATTCACATTTAATTTGCCAAGTTAACAGTAGGCCTGTGAAAGAGAGAGGGAGAAGGCAGCACTTGTACCATATTCATTTCTCTGTATTCTGTGTTAGTCACTAGTGCACACTGTCCTGTTCTAAGCTCATTATTCCAGTTGCTCACCAAAAGGTTATACATTTATATTTACATTTGCATGTAGAATAAGCCAAAATGCCAAAGGTAATCTCAGTTCAGAAAAATCCTGAACCAACATTTTAAACTCACACACTGTTTTTAGTTAAAGGAAAGACTTAGAAACTACTGCAGAATCCAAACCCCTGAGAATCCACACCATAACTGGATAAATACCAGAATTCTCACAGGTAAGAAAGCACTGGGCACATCATCAAGATAAGCCTACTGGAAATTTCACATCCAAAAATATACTTGCAGAATACAGGGTTATGTGTCAACATTAGAAAAACCTTGAGAGGTGTCTGGAATTCAGTGGGACAATTAAAAACTCATCTGCTACAGAACTGGTTAAATGCATCTGTTTCAGCCCACACAGTGCCAGTTGGACTCTCTTCCTCACTCTGTGCTGTAACACATTGGTTTCTCCTCTTCCCAGTGAACATCTTTTCCAACAGCTGTGTGCCACACACTGGCTTTTGGAAGCTTTGACTCTCAGATCCAACAGTTTGATGCATTCCATATTAACCCACTGGAATCCAAGGTGAAGGAACGATGATCTCTTGTCCTTTGTGTTGTTGTTTCTCTTCATTCAAGCAGTGAAATGTTGTTAATTCTGTGCCATGCAACATAAACAAATTCTGGATTTTCTTTGTCCCCACGCAATCAGCAGGGAGCTGTGCAGTCAAATCAGCAGCACAGCATCATCCTCTGTTACTGCAGGTGGCAGAACTAGGAGAAGATACTGAGCTATCCCAGCCAATTTAACTGTGTTTTCTTTCCTTGTTCTCTTTTTGTTGATAGTTCTATAGTAATAGATACATGTATATTCCTATAACCTTCCCTTGGAGGGTTATCCCAGTGAACTCAACAGGAATTCCATGTATATTATCATTACAGAACCAAGCCAGCTATCAAGTGATATTTAGTAGCTGATTGTAAATTATGTATGACAGTGATGGGTATTTGTAAAAGAATGTGTTGGTTCTGAACTTTTATACTGTTAAAAGTAAATAGTAATTTAAGTTTCCAACATTTTTTAGTGGATATAATCATGTTGGCACAACATGGATTTAAATTATTCATGAGTATTTGATAAAGCAGTTGAACAGTTTATGCTCTGATTTGCAGGGCAAAGCTCTTCAAAGCTGTTCTGTTTTCCTCTGTATTCTCAGTCAAGGCAAACTGTGTCTGTGTCTGACAGAGGTGGCAGAATAGCAATATATAGAATTAGTCTGATAAATTGGAGGAGAGAACCAGTACAGTGAGTGTGCTGAGTGGCTTTTTCATCCCTTTACGTATCATGACCAACTAATAGAGAGTTGGTCAGCAAGTCTCTCAGATACAGGCTGGCAGTTAAACAAGTGTTTAACTTGGTGAGTTCTCTTTAACTTGCTCTGTGTTCCTCCTACTCATCCCTCAGTGCTTACCTGCACTTCATAGACCTGACAGTAATTTACCTGTTGGCTTTCCAGTGTGGTTCAGTACAAAGCTGGGTAATCTTCAGTCTTTTTGCTTCTTTCCAAGTAATACTGGACCAGAAAAGCACGTTAGCATTTAGTACTGCTAATTACCTTTTAATTGACGTTTACGTTATCATTATTAGGCTGATACCATGCCCTGTTACACTCTAAATTCCCACTCAAGAAAGAGCTCTTGGAGTCATTTGGGAAAGTTCTGTGAATGTTTAGTACCTATCAAAAAGGCAAGAAAAACCCTAAGAATGAAGTGGAAGCCAAAGCAGAAAACATGTTCTGCAAAAATACAGATATTTTATAAGTGCTTCTTACTCTCTGTCCTTCCTGTTCATCCAGGCTGTTGCCACAAGTGATAAAGTTTGACTGAACAAAAGTGCTGAGGGATGGTGGAGATATGGAAGGGCTTCCACACAGGAACAGTTAAATAGGCTGGGGCTCTTCAGGGCAGGAAAGAAATGGCTGGAGACAAAGTTATGACAGATCTCTGTAACATCACGAAGTGCATGGAAAAAAAGGTGATTAGAGAGTGGATATTCACAGGTTCCCTTGACACCAGATTTATGGCACACCAAATTAAGTTACCTGGCAGAAAATTTAAAGCAATGGGAAGTGTTTTCAAGCAATGCATAATTAAACTTAAGAATTCATTGCTAGGATATATTGCTGGAAGTATATTCAAGTGCAAAAGCAATTTAACAGAATAGAAGAAAAAACAGTTAACTGCTCCTAAATGTAAAGGAAAGGACACACTCTCTGGGCCTGAAGGACCTTTAGGTTCAGACAGCCAGAGGCTGAGGGGGTATATCAGGAAGCTTGAGATAATATCATATACTACCTACACAGCTGCTGCTGAGCGCTGATGAATGGGAGCAGTGGAGGATTCAAAGCTATAATTTCAAGCAATTTGTTTACAGATGTAGGTGAACAATTGGTTTGTGTGTGAGATGAGATTTGAAAAACAATCCTGAGAGCTGTGACAGCTGGGAGCCTCCGTTTGCTGCCAGAAAAATAAAGATACCTTGTGTGATATATGGGAGGGTGTTCAGTGCACCCTTTGGAACATCTATCACATGATTGCTGTGATTTCAGGGGACTGGCCCGAGTTACAGGTCTGGACCTCTCAAGGGTTCTGTTCCCAGCTCTGAAAAATATGGGGAGTTACTTTGTGCAGGGTAGCTCTGTACCCAAGGTTGGGTTCTGTAATGAATTCTGAAGCTGCTCAAATCATGTTTAATCCAGGATTCTCATCATAGACTGCTTCACAGAAGACTAATCAGAGATGGATTACCAGTACAGCTGCCTTGTAGCCCTGTCCCCAAAATTCACAAAGCTTCATATAACTCATACAGACATAGTTTTGAGAGGACACAGAGCCCTAACCCACACGTACCCATGTTTATATTTCAAAAGTGGGAAAGGGGTTCTATAGAGGCAGCTAATCAGTAGCCACAACTGAATGTGGCTCTTACAGAAAGATTTCTTTTAAGAAAAGAATTCATAACTCAATATAAAGCCTTTTGTCCAGTGGTAGTTTTGCTGCAGAATGTTTGCTTATACAGATTAGAATTTTCAGTGCTGCTGGCTGAGTGGGGACCTGTATTAGTGCAAAGGTTTAAATGTTTCATCATGTTGACAGAGGTAAATGTGGAAGCTGCAGCTGTGGTACAACACCAGGTCACTGCTGAGGTAGTCTCATTTATCATTTGGCCCCCGCCTAATCAGTCAAATGTTTCACAAAGCAGATTAGAGTACAAAATGTAAGCCTAATTTTTCATGGTTACTGTGTAATGAATAATGTGTGTATGCAGATCAGCTCAGGTGACATACATTTTCTTCACAATGAGAAAGAGACTTGTATGAGGGATTAAAAACTAACTGGATTTTATCCCCAAAACTTTCCAGCCAGCAGTTTAGCTTTCACTTCTCAGTCAAAAATGTATTTTTAGAAGAGTAGGCATAAATATTTGTGCAAAGGATCTTCATTATAAAACTTATCTCTGAATTCGGGGCTTTTCTTTGACATGATCAATGCCTCTTCAATTGATTTACCATTTTTAGTTCCATTACTACCACACAGATGATTAATTAAGGCATAGAAATCAAGGTCAGGGGAAATTACTAAATTCTTCTTTGCTTTTTTCTCTTTTCTAATTAATGTCTGACTAACTCACAGCTATGGAGGTTATATTTCAAAAATATCACTAATACAGACAAGCTTGATTATTTGTTTTCACTATTTCTCCAGATGGAGAACTGGAACAGGTTTTAATGCTACAAAACAGAGGGCTCAGTGCTAGAACTTTGGAATTTCTGACTGGGACCTTGGTACTCTTGATACTCTCCAGGTCACAGGTAATAGAAGATCTTCATTATAAGCATGTGTTTTTTTAAATATTAGCCCATTTGGTGGTACCAGCAACTTCAAATCTGTACTTTTAACAGGTAGCTTGTGCTGCTGTTTAACACAGTCACCATTCAGCAGTCATTTTGTGTTCACCAAAATGTAGAAAAAGGACCTTTTGCATTTGGGGATTACAACTTGGAGGGTGTTGAGTGCTCAGTAAAATGTCACTTATTACCATGTAGGACAGATGAGCACCTTGGAGGATGGCTTAGGCTTTGACAGCAAACACTGGGGCTTTTAATAATGAGTGTGACAGGTGTTTTACTGCGTGAGTGACTGGAGGGAACAGAGCAGAGGAAATGGGTGGCAGTGCCTCCCCAGGGGTTTGGCAGCACAGCAGGAATGAAACAGCAGTGGGAAGGACAACCAAGATGTTAATTTGAAGGAAAACAGTGAGTTAAATTGACTTTCAAGGGAGAGGAGAATAAAAGCACTTACTTTACAGTGGCAGGCAAAGAGTAAAGAGTGTTATTAGTGAGAGATTTGCTCATATGTGGGAAACTGCAGCCAATGAAGGGCTACTTGAGGACATGTCTGAAGTGGTAGTGGATGCTGATAAGGAGGCACAGAGAGGTAATAGGTAATTAGATACCTGTTGATGTTAAATGTATTAAATTCCATATGACGTTTAAAAGAAGAATGGCAAAGTGATGCAGTAGACTTTGAAATTCAGAAGAATTGACAGTGATGCCACTGGAATGCAAACAGCACAGCATGGACACTGAAACCAGACTTCCTGCATAGTTTGTTCTAGTCTACCTGATGTTTTAACACATTATTTTTATAAGCATCTAATGTAACAAATATTTGCATCTTCTACTTGATGTTTGGGTTTTTTCACAGCTGAATTAACAAAGCTTATATTTTCAGAAGTGATTAATTTGGTGCATTTGTACCTGGGTACCTATCTCGAAAGCTCTTTAAAAAGACACTTTCCTTGGAAGAAACTTTAATTTTCAGGAATACTAAATAACAGGTTTCTTTAGGATGTCTCATGCAGGCCAGCATACATGGAGCAATATCTGCAAAGGAGAGAGGAATGCACAAGTGAGTTGGCAAGTTTTTACATAATTTTTTCAACAGACCTACAGGAAGTCATCACAGGTAAAATGTCAAAAGGTGTCCATAAACAAAAAGAGATTGTTAAGAAGATTGGACTGCAGGTACATTACCTGATGGGTTTCTGAATGACAAGAGGAAGCAACTAATCAGAAAAGAGCTTATGCTTTTTTTTTTCCTTTCTTTTTATTCTTCTTCTCCCCAAACAACTGAAATCAGCATTCAGTAAATTCAGAAAACATGCAATTTTTTTGCATGGGTGGCAGAATAACCATTTTACTGCTGTGCAAGCAGCATGTGCTTTCTGGAAAACACCCCCATAAATCTTGCCTTTGCAAACAGAAGAGATCCTATGCTCCAGCAGCTTTGTGGATAAAGCAGTGTTCTGTCTTATTCCACTAGAATTGGTTCTGTTTCTACCAGTGCATTTTTCTGTAGTCTCTCTCTACCATTTCCAGCCAACATCACATGTGTTCCCTCATTGCTCAGCTCTGTGGTGGTTTCCACAGCTCTAAGATCAACAGGACAAACCATTCTTACAGTCAGACTTTGCTGAAGCATGTTTTTTTTTTCCTTTGAGCTGAGGTCAAGAGAAATGAATTTTGTATCTGGATAGCCCCATCAAGTCTGTAATATTAAGAATGTTTTTTTCAGCACCTGTGGAATGTTTTACATTCTGGAGAAGGCACACTGTACATTAATTTAAACCTTGTTATGTCTTACAGTTTGTTGCCAGTGGCTCAGGAGAACTACAGAGTAAAGATGCCTTTCATTAGAGACCAAGAGAGTATAATATCAAGGAAGCAGAGGCCCAGAAGGCAGGGTAAGGGTACAAACCTGGTTTTTAAGCACATTATATGCTGTATAAACTCAGCACTCTCTATGCAAAGCACTTGGCATGCAAATGTCAAGGAGCATTTTATTACACGAGAGCAGAGCAGACCTTGCAGCACATTCAGTACATGTCAGTGCAGTTCGAAGGCACTGTCCTGGAAGGATGTGATGGAAAGAAAGATGACAAACCCCCAAGTTCATAATCATTTCTCATTTTTTAATCCATCAAATTATTTTTAAAATTGAGCTAAAAAGCCCAGCTGTGCTTTGTAATTAATTTGGATTTTTGCTGAGAGTAAGGGGATCTCAAGATTTTCACGGGCTCACATTGCTGTGTGTTCTGAGCAACACAGGTGTTTTCCACAAAATGGTAACCACAGGATGTTCATTCCAGTTTCCTGTCTTGCTTTATTTGCAGCTGCCATATCAGCTCTTTCATTAAAAGCAAATCTGACTCGTGTGCTGATGTGAGGCAAAAGTTCCAGCAGAACGTGAAGAAGCAGCTTGCTCTTTATGTGACACCCTAGTGAGCCTTGAGAGGTAAGGAGAGACTCTTCTCAGTGTACTCTTAAAACACAACTCATCTTACTTCTGACCAGATTTAAGACTTGTCTTCAGGCCCTTTAGAGATGCATTTATTTATCTTGGCATTCAAATAAGAATATAGGGATGATGATGGACAGTTTTGTGACTGCATAGAAAAATATATTACAAGTTAAATATTTGCAGCAGTGTTTTGGAATATTTCTGAGCGATTCTTCTGGAAATATACATTGAATATATTCACTTTGGACATTGTAGTCCTTTTCACTCAAAAAATTGGTAATAAATTCAGTCCACACACACCCTGTATGGCTGTTTTGCATTTTCAGTTCAGAGATCACTGTTCTGCTCTTCAACATTGCTTTGACTCTTCTCAGTGTAACAGTTGCAGTGTCCTCTCTCAAGGCCTTTTCCCAGATCACTGACATCTCTGCCTTGTTGACCAGCTGAAGCCTGTCATCCTTTTCCTCTCACCCAGAAACATTCATCTGTGATCTTTGTGCAAATTCTCTTGTCTCAGTCAGCACCAGCCCTGAGATCCTTCTCTACTTCACTGTTCTGAAGGGTGTTAGAGGCACAGTTTTCTTTCCCCCTCCCACTTCTTCCTTCTACTCTTCTCTTCATTTTGTACTTAATTTTTTTGTCCCCAGAACTTCCCTTGTCTGCAGCCAGGTCCTTGTTTTCTTCCCTGAGCAGCTGCTGTTCCTGCACAAGGATCTAATCATTCCAGCATCCTGCAGCCTGGAAGGACAAGTTGGATGGAAAGTTACTATTGCAGCTATTTCAGTATTCTCCATACAGCCACACAAGCATATATCCTATTTGATCAGCATTTGGAGATGGAGCCTCAGATTGGCAGGATATGGTATAAGTAATTTATTGGAGAGAAAAGCAGATGTTGTTTTTGTTATAACCCAGCAGCACTTTTTGTAGCAATGCACACATGAACCCAATCTCTGGGTCAAAATTCTAGCTCAGATCACCCTATTCCATCTCTCTTCTGTTGTATTTTAATTCATATTTTACCCGAAATTACTGTACAGTATTCTGTTTGGTTTTAAGCAGTAGATACCTAATAGAAAGTGGAGACTGAATTTCAGTTTAAATCAAACTTAAGTTTTGTAGGTAAGTTTTTCTTACCTACAGCTTAGAGTTGATATAAAATATAACCACTTTTAATATGTTTGTAGAAACATGAATGTACAGAGAACACTGCAAAAGCAAAAACTGGTATTGGTGTCCACAGACTGAACATACAACTTGTTCTTCACATTCATTGTTTTCTGCCTGCCTTATTGTCTTCCCAGTTAGCAGTGCAGAAGTATGATGATGTCTAAAACATAACTTTAAGTTGTTGTGGTTTGTTTGTTTGTTTGTTTGTTGTCAGAAATACCAGCCTCTGAAACAATTGAAGTATTTTGGGAGAGACACGGAAAGAATAAGACAGCTGGGATGAGATGATGAAGGGGGACTAAACTGGGAAGGAGACACAGAACCCCCTCGGTGCTTTGACTTTGCCAACACAGTTAAACACGTAGAGCTCTCCGTGCCAGCCCCTTTCTGCCAAGTGCTGTCTGTGACGCGTGTGGAGCTGTGAAATCTGTGTTTCTGTTTTAACAAGGCTGGTCACCCCCCTCGTGGAGACACAAAGTCATGGCAGAGCCGTTGCTTTCCCCACAGCACTTGTTTCGTTTACAGTAACGCTGATTTTTCCGTGCTCTTGCAAACTCTGCATGCCAAGAAAGCTGAATCACAGAGGAACACTTTGCTAGTTTGTGCTGTCAGTCGAGCTGTCTTGGCTCCCTCATGAAGTGAGAAAAGCCAAACAAACAAATATGTGATGTAAGAGTGCACTGAACGGAGCTTCCCTTCTCAAAATGTCTCAGTGCATGGTGGGTTATAAAAGGCTTGTGTGTGACATGATAACAGTTATCTGGGTAATCAAACCGGTGATAATAAGGATTTGGCTGTACAGCCACACCAACAGGGTACTACTGAGTGTGGAACTGGCCCTGCTGAAGGTGAGAACCACGTGTTTCCTGTTTTACTGGCATCAGGAGGAAACTTCTCACCCCTTTCCTGCTGTCCCAGTGACTTGTATGCTAAACTGGAGGGAGGCAGCACTTCCTGCTGATGTGCTGCCAAATCCTCAGCCTTTGCAAGGAAAGCCACAGCACACCCCAGTCATGCACGGTCTAGAAGGGTTTGGAACATCAGTCTTCAAGGCTGTCAGAGCAGCACTGCAGAATTTAGAACATTTAAAAAATGGCCCTCTTTTCACAAGAGTTTTATTTTTATTGTAATGTGTAATTCTCCTCCTGTATCTCTATATTCAGAGTGAAATGGTGAAGGCTGTGTGTTACAGTGCACTTACATCAATGAGATTTATGTCAGCACATAGAGAGAGGAGAATGATGATAGCACGGGGAAAAGGGATATTAAAAAGAATCAGAAAGTGTGTCAGATCAGGCACTGATTGCATTGGAAAATCCACAGAGGCTAAACAAAATAAATAGAGAAAATATGAAGAGGACAAATGTGTAGCAAAATGGAAGTATTTGTTGGGATTTTATTATTTCCTTTCATACCCAAGTTTGTCATCCCAAATTTGATGAATAATGAAGAAGTCCTTATTTCCATGCCCAGCAAAGGGAATTGGTGCTCAAGCCCAATAAAGTAAAGCTCTTTCACATTATTCATAATAAAGGTCCCTTCCAACCCAAACCATTCTATGATTCACTCGGAATTACGTTGAGCAGTGCACTCCCCAAAGAGCCATTTTTTTCTGTGGAAGTTATGGAAATGGTGAAGTGGCAGAAATGCCAGACAAACCCAGAGTTATTAATCAGATATTCGTTTGTTCCCAAAGGCTTCTCTTTTATTGCTGTTCTTCTTTCTGCTAAAGGTTTCCTGTAGTGCTTGCCAGACTCGCTCGGTCTGTGAGGAGTGACTGTTTCGTACGGAAAAATCTTAAAAAACCTGGAAAAATATGGCAAGAATCCCGACTTGAAAATTCACCAGACACGTTTCTTAAGGTTCTGGCTGAGGTACACATGTGGTGAGTGTACATCATGTGTGATGAGGGTGGGGAGAACAGGCACCTGTGGGTGAAATTCCAGCACTGGAAAGTTACCAGATGAAATCACTCAGGATCTCACTAAATGAAGATGCTGCTATTCATTCTTTTACAAGGCACTTTGAACTCTTCAAGAGAAAGATGTTATGACAACCACTGGTTTATTAATCAGTATCATTTTATTATTATGTCATTGTTGATTTATTTACTGCCTCAGTGAAAGTGACACCTGTCATAAATTGTTGGGACATTTGAAGTGAAGCATTAACTTGTGCTCTGAAAAGGCCTGTCCTTCACAGTAGTTACATCCATGAGCCATTTAGGTTATGAATTATGTCCCTGATCCAGGAACTCTGCAGGAATGTTTGCTTTGCTTCAGCAACACTTAAAAAAAACCCCAAGAGCTACCTCCCAAGATTTTAAGCTGGGCTCAATTCCTGTAGTTCTAGAAGAAACTGGCAGATGAGGAAGGACAGAAGGAACTCAGAATATTCTGTGACTGTGACATTAGACTTACACACCTCCGTGTAGTGTAACCAGGTAACTAACTCACCAAAATGGCAACGATGCCACCTTGTGTTTTGTGTTCTCATCACAGTCATTCCCCTGGTCTGTGAGACCAACAGAAATCTCTCAGAGGCAGCAGGTTATTCTGCTTTTTACACATATCAAGTGTGATCTTGCCTTTCAAATGCAAAGGTTTAGCAACCAACATGTCGAGATCAGAGTATCTGTGTTGTCTTGAAGTTTTATAAAAATAACCATTTTGTCTCGTGCCCTAATTTGCATAGTCACTAACCAGAGAGGCAGCCTTGCTTTTAATGTTCAATAGAAAAGTCTCAATTGCTTGCTGGGTTTAGATCTATTTCTTTGCTTTTTCCTTTGCATTTTGATCCTTCATATTTGTGCAACAGGAATAGAGGAAAAACATGTGAGCATAGCTGGATCTCCTGTCTGTTTCTTTATACCCCTTTCAAAAATAGCCCCAGAGGAAGGAGGACCTTGGTGCTCCTTCTGACAGGAATAGATGAAAGAAACTGTTGTATTTTAGGAGAAGGAGCAGCATCACTGAATATCATCCGGCTGAGGTGCCAGGTGAAGTTCTTATTTGACTCCAAGTTGCTTTAGTGTAGGTGCCTTGATGGAAGGTAGAAGACAGATGCAAGTTTAAAACACCAAGACTTGACTTGGAAGGATTCAGGATATAAATTGCAATGAAAATTATAGGGTTTTCATTTTAGAGCATATCCAATGCTCTGAATGTTTTGGTGACACAAAGCACTGTTTGCAAAAGCCATTATAAATGTTCTGTTGTCACAACGATCAAATTTTCCTGTGTTACCTCTCTCTTACACATAAAACAAAAGCTCAGGAAAGAACCTTTTCCTGTTCCAGTTTGTACATGAAAGTATTGTGCAGATGCCAGCAGAGGATTTCAGTGAGTGGTTTCAGAGGAGTAGCTTCCTCTGTGCACAGTCCTTCACCTCTGAATCAGAGGTCAGGTAATTTCTTCAGACCTTCCTCTAACAATGCCTACAGTATAACAAGCATCTACTCACTACAGATAAACTGATTTCCATGTCTAAATAGCATTGTCTCTATCTGCTCTTCATTTTAGCTTTCCTCTATAAAAAATAGCCCAAGCACAGTGCAGTTTTAAGCTCTAAGACAAATCTTTTTTTTTTTCTTGCATGAATTCTTTCCATTGTAATTCAGATGTTTTACTTTTGCATTGAGTTTATCCTGTAGTTACTGCATGATTGTGGATTAATTCTTGCCTTATTAAAATCAGTATCAAAAAGCCAAGATCCTTAGATACATTTCCCAGGTTTCCAGCTGAAGACACATTTTCCCCTGATTACCTCAGCATATGTTTGCCATTACTGTGCAGGGTAAGACAGTAGAATGACACCCCTGAACTCACAGACAGTGATAAATATGTGATATTTGTGAACCTGTCTGGCCTCAGCCATGTATTTCCTGGTGGGTCATAATTGCTGGGTGATGGAATTGGTGACCCAGTGACCTTCTAAGATGATGATCTTACTGAGCTGCTTCCCTGCCTGTCAGAGCCTCCAGAGGACCCACTGGGGAGAAATGCTGTTGATCCTTCAGCCACAATAAGGGGAAACAATGCCAGCTTGGGGTCCAGGTGAGTAGAGTGACCACTGATGTGTAATGTGTTATTGATTAATGGCCTTGTTTTGTCTCCCCTCATTATCAAGAGGTAATTGTTTCTCAGTGAAAAGAGCCAGATTTCTTTGACTTACAGACATCAGAAAAAAGCAAGCTCTTAAAGTTCTGTTGTGCTCCTGCTTTTCTCATTCTATATATGGCAGTGCTAAATTAGCATTTGTACAAGTAGTGAAGCCATATTTTCCTCTCTCCATGCTTTTCTTTTCCTCCATCTCAAAATCCAGTGGAAAACTTTCCTCCAAAAGCTCCAGAGGGCTGACCTAGTGCCCAGAGAAATAAGTGGCAGTGCTTCTGCCAGAGGAGCAGGATGTGGTCTTGCTTCGACCCCTGAGACCTCAATTGCACTGTTCACTGGATTCTTCCATTTCTTTTAGCTTCCTTGCAGCCCTCTGTGAGTTTTGAGAGACCCCAATTCTCCAGTTCTTTTGGGATCATATCACCGTGATCTGACTCAAGTTTCACTGTCAGTGCTGTTGTTTTTACCCTGTGGCAAACAAAAAGAAAACTCAGCAGCTTGGGAGCTCCTTGGTGGAACTGTTGGTTACATGGGGTGGAACCTTCATCTTGGTCCTTCCTCCCTCTGTGGAACTGCAGAGAGAAGGTTGTGAAACTTCCTTACATCCAAGAAAATCTCAGCCAAAATCCAAACTTTACACCAGCCAAACCTGTGACCTAATGTGTCTGCCCTCGTGTAAGATGAGATGGTTGTGCTAAATGTAATTAGCTAATGTCTGAGCAGCTCTCTGAGCTCCCAAAGCAGGATGCCAGTGGGAATGTTAGGAGCATCTAATGTTTTTGTGGGATTATGAAATATCTTATGCATGCTTTTGTTTTATCATGGCTCTTGTCTCTCCTATTGTCACCAGGTAACAAGGGGTTTCTCCTCTAGGAAGAAAATAGGTTGTCTTTTTTTTTTACCTCCAGCATCAGCCTAATGAAAAAAATTCTGCTTCTTTTATTCTGAGATGGCAAAGAGCTCCTCTGGAGAAAAATAGCAGCTTTCCTTTTCCTGCTTCCTGACAAACTTACAGTTTCCTCAGGCAAGATCCTCAGCCCTGCCCAAGTCTTTGCCTGCCAATTTAAAGGACTGAAACAAAACAAAGAGGTGTTAAATCCATACCGAGGTAAAAGAGGACTTGGGGTTTTTAAACTTCTGAGGTTTTTTTCCTGCAAAGATCTTGAATTCTCCCAAATACTTCCATGAACAATCTCACAGACTTGCTGCTTCAGTAGATCCTTGCAGAGTAGGTTCAGAGTAACCCATTTAACACATGGAGATGGGTGCACCAGGAGTCCAAGCAACTTGCTAAAGGTCTCCAGAGTGTGTGGTAAAGCTGCTTGGATCAGTGTTCTGTCTGCTCATCTCACATTCTATTCTGGTCCTCTAAATTTCAGCTAATGGGCCAGTCATTCACAAATCTATTAGCCAAAACAAGCTTGGCTTGGTCACTTGTTTGGTGCTCTGGAGTGGATGTCTGGGGGATTCAGACACTGAACTCGGAGACTCTTGATCCTGTTCCTGCTGTGTGATGTGTTCCCAGTGTCATCCAAGCCCCACATGCCTCAGTTGAAGCTGAAATAAGAACATTTTGCTGGGTGTCACTGGCAGCAGGGCAGAAAGTTATGGCTGCGTGAGAATTGCTTGGATATTAGGCTGGCAATTGTTATAGGAAAACTCATCAATTAGAAGAGTAAGTAATGCCTCCTTCAGCATTCATCCTTCCCTTCCTCTTCACAAGGGTTCTGAAATTGTCATCTCTACTGTCTTTTTGTAGGAAAGCTTTCACCATGGTGGAAAAGAAGCCAATCATCCTATTATATCAACAACAATAGTCCCACTCTGTTTTATATTGGACATAAAAAGCAGCATCTTATAAATAGGGAATATAAAAAATACCCATCTCTGTCTCTCTCATCAATAGGCTGTTTATTGTGAAAAAATGTCACAGTCATTGTAGGGCTGTTCAGGAATTGAGGTACATCTTCCCAATTGGAATTTCAGCTTTACATATCACCCTTTTATTCTTCTGTCCTGTGAATTAAGACTACACCAGCATGATAAAGAGGTGAAATTATATCTAGCCTTGCACACTAATAACAGCAATTCTTTCTGCTAAGTTTTGATAAATACCACTGTTGTAGCATTGCAGAAGATAAAAACCCAGCCTAACAAACCCCAGGATATTTGGGATCAGCTCCAGCTTCTATCAAGGTCAGTGGAAAGATTGTTATCGACCCTGCTGAGTGTTGATGACTGTAAAATCAGAATAGGTTGTTATTACAAGTGCCATGACTGATCTTGTGAGCAGCAAAATAAGAGTACCATTCCCAGTAGGAAAATTGACCAAGCACCAAAAGAAAGTGGTCAAAGAGAGAAAAAGATTTGACCAAAGGTAGCTGGGAAGAATTCTCAACCTCAATTGCCCTAATTTTGGGATCATAAACAGCTGATCACAAGAAGCTGAGAGGACATACCAGGGCCTGAAGCATCCTGAAATCGCCCTTCTTAATCATCTGTCACTGGCCAACATCAAAAAGGGGACATAGATGCATTTTGGTCTACCTGATGTTTGTGTTTTGTGACAACATTGGAGAGGGAGGGAAAAGCTGAGGTGGTTGAGTAAGAGTCCAGCAAAGCAGTGTCACTGTAGCGTGTTTGAGGTTGTTTTCTCTGTTCATCAGGGTAACAGGAAGCAGAAAGGATGTTCCTTCAGGAGCCCTCTCAACAGTGAGAATTGAGGAATGCTCTTTCATGCCGTGCCAGGAGGGCAGGGACACAGCAACGTTCAG